TTCGGCTCGTATGGTTTTCAGTAGGAGGCCTTTATAGGAGGTCTGACGTTGCGAGTAGTTACTTCACTAGGCCGACACAGGTCACGGTGAAGTGGTATAATTCGGTTTTAAAAAACTTTCCTAATTTCCGAATAATTTTGAACCCGACCTGCTGTTACACTGGCAGTCAGGGTTTCAAAACTACAAGCCGTACATGTCCCGTGTGCGGAAAACCATGCATTTCTCTACGCTATTAAGAGCAGACCATAGGGGGTTCATAAAATTAAGCAGTGGATTTGAGTAATATTGTTAACTTTACAAGCCACATTCGTAAATGCAGATACATGACGTTGTATTAACGGCCATTTCACAGTATTAAAAAAATCTCACAATTAGGGACTTTTCTTATACCCAATTATACCCTTCTTTCGAGTATAAAATTGGAAGGCGACGTGATTCTCTACTGAATAAGTTAACGAATGAATATGTTTATGCATGTTTTCCATGAAATATAATTGAATTTTCAAGAGCTTTGAAAATCAATGAAAGAAATAGCATGCCTCTTATGTAGTCATTTTTTGCAGAGTATAATTTTTGCATGAAGCCAGAGAGGAGTTTTTTCGAAAGCCGGCATCCTGGGACAACTGCATTACTAGAGAATTATGCTGCACGACAATTATTTTTGCAGTCCTACTTAATTAGTCTTTTCGAAACGAGAACGCACTTCGAAATTTCGATTGACATTTCATGAGTTAGCCCACCTACTGCAGCCCCTTGTGTGTATTAAGAGGACTTTCTTTCCATCAAATCTCTCTGCCGATCTTCATTTCTTTATAGTTATTTCTGGTGCTCGAGCACGATCTGAGTTTCAGATATTCCTTAAAATAACGGCGAATACTTCACGATTTTCAGTGTTTTGAATCGATTGCCCACAAATGAAGATTATGTTCTACGTAATTATCAAAACCGTCAAAATAAGATATCTTTTAAAAACCTTTACCGGAGTAGCTAGTTTTTTGACATTCTAGTGTTTGGTCATATTTTTAGACTCACCCGAACAGGAAACATCACCGAGAAAAGTAGGCGTCGACAACGAAATGCGGCATCGAATATGTTTTATATCATTTAAGAAAACTTGCTCTAATAAGTTGCCTCTTTAAAAAACACTTACCAGGTATTTTTCTGACGGGTTTCTGTGTACTTAATCTTTTTTTCAAGATTAAGTCGAGGTAAAAAAAGGGACGTCTGATCGGCTTCCTCCTGTCCCTGAAAGTTAGCGATAATTTTTCCGCTACTGACTTTCCTCTCTGTGTGGGAGTCTTTTTCGCCATATTTGTTTACTTTTGGGCTCCGTTCTAAGATTGCAAATGTACAACGGAGTATTCGTATAAGTACTAAGATATTGCGAAGTCTGCTAATCCTCTGTGTGTTTCGTTTGTAAATTACACATCAGTGGAAACTAGACCATATGACAGACCACATAAAGAATATTATATCGTATGCTCACTTGTGGACATTGCCATTTTGTGGAGAAACTTTCCACGGCAAGTTAATGAGTATTCGCAAAGTGCAGAAAAATGTCAGAACGTTTAAACAAATAATTGTCTATAAGCGTTATTACTGTTTTAAGTCATGAAATCACACAGATTTGCACATCCGATTTTTTAAAATTGATAAAATGTCTGGGTTTCTAAAAAAATGGCTTGCTTGCTTGCGTCTGCTTCACCTGATTTACATGGAGAAAAGATTGACTCTCGAGTGCAACAAGTTCCTTTTGGTAAAATTCTCAAGTTCATATCACTCTTTCCTCGTAGAAAAACACGCGCAGGTGCGCAAAATTAGTCCAAGACAGTTACTAGTACAGGAAACCGCCGGAATATAAGGTATCGTGGATTTCCGCTCAAAATTGTAAGCATTTTGACTAATAAAATTATAATAATATTGAGCATTTAAAAGACACTTTCCGGAATAGGCTAAGCGAACATGTTAAAGGTGCACCGTTTTATTTGCCCAAAAATGGTCGTCTCAGTTTCCGTCATCATTTTGTACCTTAGCCTCCGAACCAGCTTGGTTGATGGTGTTTGTGCGATATGCAACGGTGACCGGGAGTTTTCTACGATGTCTTTATTGAGGGATGGCGCTCCTACTTTTAAACTCCTAGTGCTCATCTACTTTCAAATATTCTACCACGAATATATCTATAAATCCGTAGAACGACAATAAGTCCACCAAGCGAACTCCGGCAGCGCATTTCGTGGATCTGATTGCCAAGCGCTATCCCGGTGTACCGATGTTCCTGCGTCCGCACGCGGACTACCTAGCCCGACTGTACACTGACCCAGGTCCACCGGTACCCCTCGTCGACCGCCTATTGGCCGATCTCAAGGTCGCATCCTTGGTCTGTATGAACAAGGCCTCCGGGCGGGTCCTCTTTGGAAGAGGCAACGAAGAAGAGAAGAAAGTGGAGGCATCAGATGCGACCACAGAGGCGGAGGAGGCAGTGCCACCAGAAGGGAACTCTGTTGACGCAGATGAGGACTCGCCGGCCCTGAAACAGCCCAACAAGAAAACGGCACGCTGGCTCGCTGAAATGGCCGACGACCACCGGTTTGTCATGGTTCGCATCGGTCGACCTGCCGACTGGGACGGTCAGGTACCAACGATTTTTTTACCTTCCCAAAGAGACAAAAGAGAAGGGAGAATGAAATACTCCTTTCTGGCTTACTGGCCGTAGGTTGCCAGTCATATTCAATCCCTATATCTGGATAACCTGGGATTCGAACCCATAGCCGTCGGGCGTTAAACGGTCCAACATTGTACCATTGGGCCACGGACCTGTTGCCCTGTCGGTTGTGATCGAGAATATTAGCTGTCGGAGGGGGGGCAGTCGACAATCAGGTTACGAGACGTGCTCATCCCGTTGCGCCACGGGGCTCAATCTAGGGCTTCCGCAGGCAGTCCTGTGGCAACTGGTAGTAGTGGTAATGGTAGTAGTAGTGGTAGTAGTAGTAGTAGTAGTAGTAGTAGAAGTAGTAGTAGTAGTCGTAGTAGTAGTAAGAGTAGCAGTAGAAGCAGCAGTAGTAGTAGTAGTAGTAGTAGAAGTAGTAGTAGCAGTAGTAGCAGTAGTAGTAGTGGTAGTAGTAGCAGTAGTAGTAGTAGTAGTAGTAGTAGTAGTAGTAGTAGTAGTAGTAGTAGTAGTAGTAGTAGTAGTAGTAGTAGTAGTAGTAGTAGTAGTAGTAGTAGTAGTAGTAGTAGTAGTAGTAGTAGTAGTAGTAGTAGTAGTAGTAGTAGTAGTAGTAGTAGTGTCACCTGTGCCTTGGGCAGATGTATTTCGCCTGGACAGATAGATAACTGTCACGGGCACACGATTCTATCGAGTTAGTCTGAAAACTGACCTTTGTGCTTTCTGCCTTTTCAGAAGGAGACTAAACGCCTACAGAAATTCGCAAAAACTCTCTACATGCAGGCGCCCGCCAGTTCTCTCATAATCCTCCTCTGCACCCGATCCCATGAGAAGCTACCTAACTCCAACAACCATAGGCCTCCTCCGAACGCCACCACTAGTCAGGCCTTTTTGGCCCTTACAAACCCGTCACGCTTTGCCGAACGTGTCTCCGACAGCGCCAGTTAGCGGGACCTTTGAGAGATGTTTCATTATTCTCCCGCCCCCCCCCTTCAGTCTAAACTCACGCCCTCCACTTTGTAAATATACCTGCCACTTCCTCCTGTGAACCCTGATTTATCAAACTGAATCGATACTCATGGAGACATCTCTCCCCTGGTTAAAGTCGGCGAATGGTGGTTATTTATTGCGGTACGTTTTAGGAGATTGGGTTTCCACCAGTTGGTATAGAGCCTACACCGCAGTACCTGATACATTACGAAAGAGCGTTAAAGAGGTGTGTGAGTTAGCAGGATATCCTCCCTGCGCATGGCGCTAGCTTAAGCAAGCCTCAGGCAGGTGGGGCGGTTGGTGCAGCAGTGGGTTTGTGGTAAGTAGCGCGCGGTATGATTGGTAGTTGGAATCAGCGTACGGTAGCACTGGATGTCCAATCCTCTCTATAACCACGCCGCAGGGGTGACTTATTGAACGCAGTCTGTTCGCTGGTGGTGAGGTTTACTCTCGGGTGATTGTTCGATAGCTGGTGGTGTGCTCTGCAACAGGTCGGGAGTTAGCTGTGGATGCCAACGACTGAGAGAGAGGACTGATAGGCCGTAATAGATTCCAGCCGCCTCTACAGTGGCCCGGTACGTACAGTGAGTGACCGATCTCATAAAATGTTGGCCAAAATTCTGAAATGCGTTCTCGATTTGGAAGGATTACTTTGATGGGGTTGTAATACTGATTATCTTGCGGCATAATCCTATAATATGCCGGACTCGGCAAGACGTCGGCTTCTGAATGCACTTCCTTGCAGAAACCGCACTCGGTAAAAAAATGACTATTTATGTAGTATGCACTTCTCTCGTTGATTTTCGGTGGTCTTGCAAATCCAGATATATTTTATAACAAACGTGAACAAAGGTATTCTTTCGTTTTAATTGGCAATCAAGCCAACCTCATATTTTATACTCGAAGAGGGAATATAATTAGTTTCTAAAAATTTGGAGCCTGATCAGCCGTTGCATTAGCGCCTTGTGATTTCAGTCTACAAATCTGCACGCATTCCGCGTATGGAAAAACACATATTTTTCCATGCCTTTATGAAAGTGTCGTATGGAGTTTATAAAATTTTACAATGGATGCGGACTATGTTGTACATCTCACGAGGAGCAGTGGTAAACGGACAGGTACGATACTGTATGAATGGAGGTTGCTCGGTCTCAAAAAATCTCATGATTTGAAACTTTAAAACCATACTTATACTCCTTCGTCGAGTGTAAAATGCGAAGATGACTCGGTTCTCTATCAAACGGCTGCAAGGAAGCATATTTTTGTTCGTGCTTTCTATAAATTGTATTTAATTTTGCAAGACCCCGAAAATCAATGTGAAAAATGCAGACTGCATAAGTAGTCATTTTTTCCGAGTGCGGTTTCTGCAGGGGGTTGAAAGGAAGTGCATTCAGAAGCCGACATCTTGCCGAGTCCGGAATATTATAGGATTATGCCGCAAGATGATCAATATTACAACAGCGCCTCAGTAATCCTTCCTAAATCGAAAACACATTTCAGAATTTCAGCCAACATTTCATGAGATCGGTTACTCACTGTAGCACACCATTTCCTTACTCCTGTTCAGGGGCAATTCAGTGTGATGAGACCTGTAAATATTAAGCGATAAGTATCATTAAGATACCGGAAGACGATATTTGATGCGAAAGGCTGTAATGGCCCCTAGCCGCCTCTACAGTGACTCGGTAGTAGGGCGAGGACCAGGTCGTGTGTGGCACACACAGACCGCTATGCGCGCGCGCCCATCGGCAGTTTTAACATTGCTCTGCTATCGAAGGCAGGGGGGGGGGAGTTGCAGATGTTGCGCAGGTTTGCTCCACTGTAAAATAATTCACGTGCAAGTAATTGAGGCCGCTGCAGTACGTGAGGCACGCTGGGTTCCGGTCTTCTGATCATTGTTAGACTGGAGTCAAACGTGACCACGCTTGCGAAGGCGGTCTCCGTATTCCAATCTCACCAAGCATGGCCTATTTCGGCGGCCTAGGGGGAGGAGCGGCGAGGAAACTGAGCGTTTATGACCTTTGTCTCTAGATCTCCTGGAAGCGATTAGGGCACTGGTGCTTCCTATCCAGAGTTTCGCTCCAGCAAAATCAAGTAAGACCTCCCAGTCGTAGTGTTCTCCTTCCTTGTGTAGGACGACATGGCCGATAGGTCTGCAATCGCATCCTACGCCAGTATCAGCAAACCCTGGCCATCGCAGCCGGGTAGGCACTGGCAGTCCCCTGACACCTGACTTCCTACCGGTGAATTCGCTTTCGCTCCTGTTGGGTATGCAAATGGAGGGCATGGCCGCCCAGTCATCATCGTCCTTCCGACCCCTGTTGGGATGCTGTTTTGGTCAAAAACCTGGTCATTTGCTGCACGGACCACGAGGTGTGGGGGGTGGAACGCAAAGATGCGGGCTCGGCCGTCCCCCCCCCCACCCCCGGTTTTCCTGACTGTGTCTTGACACCGGGTCCAGGTGGGAAGTGGGGAAGAGTGTGGTAGATGCTACGCGAGTCCAATATTACTATAAACTAGTTCGTGGTCATGTCGTGTCTGCTTCACCTTTCAGTCGATCACACGGTTCATAACGTCGCAATGACCGTCGAACTGTCATGTACGACGACATAGACTGTGTGCCAACTGGCGGTTGTATACGAGTCACCATCACTACCTTCGTCAATGATGGATCTGCTAGTTTCCGTCCTGGAGGGGCCCATGTAGACGCTCCGTAACGTAGTCCCCGAAATATATGCCTGAGCGGTTTCGTTTTTTATCGCTGCTCTATTTTGCATTCGGTTTATTTTGGTAAAAAAGCCAACTCCTGCCAGGTGTGCCGTCCTCGACGTGGAGACGCTTGGTTATATAAGTCAGCAAAAACATCAACGCCCTGTTGGGGCTTGGTTAAACACTGGTCATCAAAGATAAAGAAGAAGACCTGGACGGACACGGTCGAACACCAGAACCATTTCAGTTAGTTAGGCACAGGACGTTCGCCTTACATTTCAAATCTACCTAGCAGTCCAGGGGTCAGTTGCATAAAGATGGCGTCCACTGGTATATCTGAATGACAGGCCCGATGTCGACAGCTCTGCTTTACCCCGAAGCTCCGGTTATAGCTTCCATTTAAGTTGTCGCGTAACTGCCAATAATCAATCCCCGGCGCCTCAAAAAGAGTGAAACACATTTTAATGGCAGCCAGTACTGTTCCGACAAGTTTGGGATCCTGTGAGTCATTGACCACTTAAAGTCCGACTGTCCTCTCCATCTGTGCTACCCAGATCGCCCTCTGTCAGCTATGATGCAGCGATGTATTCAGATTGTTCGATGTCCTGGTCTTGCGGGTTTGTGATAGCTAACGTCGGGATGGGAACTTCTGTGTCCTAAGCCTCCATGTACCTTGAAACACTACTATTAAACGTTATTTTATTTGTGCTTTCATATTTACTCTGTTTTTTTATATGAGAAAACCATCTATACATCTAACAAAAGTTTACTAAATTACGATAATTTCAGACGTTTTAGGGATATTACGCTTTTTTAAGATAAACAGCATTTCTAGGCATCGCAGCACTGCCTTTAATATTTGTTTTTAATTCTTTTAAACTCATACTTAATTAACATGGACATTGAATTCATGAAATGGCAATAATTCGTAAATTTCGACACATTTCATGAGTTAGGTCACTAACTGTACAGTACTCCTCGATGCAAGCTAACTGTTGCCTTGAAGCCGCATGATGCGCCCTGCTGGTTGCAGTTTGTCAGACATCGTTTCAACCGGTCCTTTATAAGACCGAGTCCAGACTACCGTGATTGATTGAAGTCTAAAGTTCCAGGTCTTATCATCGAGGTAACTGGCTTCTTACATTTTGTGCACTCCCTGGGGTAGCTTCTGGCTTCGCCTACGCAACCCTACAAATACTGGCCTCGTATTATAGCGTTGTATTATGCTGACAAATGTATTTTCAAAATGCAGTGAGGGCATTGACAAGGGGAATTAGGATACGGATTCAGGCAAGGGTTTAAGATTGGGTCCGTATAAAGTGTTTCATAGTAAAAAGAACTAATTCGCACAGGAAACTGTGCCAAACGGCCAATAGCATGTAACGCGACTCGTCATTATCATTTCAGAGGGTAGGAGTCCTCCATTCTAATCGATCGAAGCTCCGGTGAAGCGCTATTGGAGACATCAAGATTGACCGATGGCGATGGGGGTCCCGGCAGAGCCTCCGCGTGCTCCACAGGGCTCATCACGAGGGTTGGAACTGAAGTGCCAGGTTGTCGGCGCACGAGGTCGGTAATGTGGATATCGGAGGTGGGCCCCGTCCCGGTTACTCCCGCCGCAGTCTGTTGCCCCGCCTCCGGCGTCTCATCGAATTCGGGTTTGAGGTAGATGAGGACGGTGAATATCATCACTGAGGCCCCGATGTAGACGAGACTGTGGTAGGTAACAGTCCATGTCCACTCAACAAACTCTTGCCACTCGGCCCATTCGACGGTGCTCGCGGCCGGGCAGGGCTCGCCAGGCTCGCAGAATTCCAGCTAGGGTCAGAAAATGTGGTTTAGTTTTGCAGTTGTCTGAAATTGGTTGCTCCTGCGAAGTTGGAATACATTAGCTGTACAACGAGACGCCTGGAAAAGAGAGGACGTGAACACATACCGTCTTGGCTAGGCAGAGGTGAAACGAAATCGATTTCGAGTTCTATTCTCGTACATCTTGTTGAGACGAATGACTGAGCCCATGTCAAAGGCTTCCAGGCTGTCTCCTGGACACCAACAAAGTTGTTCAGAAGTCTACGCCATAGGTGTTAGCTACATCCGAGGCAGTGGCTATACGGCCAACGAATCCAGCGCTGTGTTGTCGGAAGACTTAGGGACGAGCACTCTGCCTTCCGTGGTCAACCCCAGATCGCTATCGCGCGCTGCGCCAACCCCCTAGTAACAGTGATGTGTACCTCACGTACCCGACTAGC